TGTGTGTGTGTGTGTGTGTGTGTGTGTGTGTGTGTGTTTCACATCAGTAAAGTCGAGTGAAATGCCAGCATACCGAACACACCCGCGACGCGCCTGAATCTGCCCGCACTGATCTCAGATCAGATTAGACGGGCGTGACACACACACACCACAGGGAGCAGCAGATGTCAGATGAAATGACTTAATGACCAAGCCTTTGTCTCAGAACTATTAGACGGCGTGTAGTTTGGGCGCTTATGTTATCTGGTCCTACAGGTTAAACGAACTGCTTTTGCATTGTTTGCATTGTTCTTGTTTTTCTCAGTAACATCAACAATAGACGTGAACTTTCCCTGACAGGTTACTGTTATTTATAGAGTCGACTCAGACTATTCACAACACTGACAAAATAATACTTTCAACCAACTCTTGTTACAGCTTCATTTATTCGTTTTTTCTTAAATTATACAGCATTTATGGTTTGGTTCTAATTTAATATTAATGAAAAATATAGATTTTCCCAAAGACAAAAAACATACAAAGCAAAAGGTTTTTTCCTGCAAAGCAAAGCAAAAAAATTAAATAAAAAAATAAATAATAATAATAATAATAATAAAATTAAACAAAAAATAAACACCATGCAAAAACTTTTGTTTATATTATATTATTGGCTTTTTTCAACTTTATTTCACCAAAGAAAGCTAAATCGGTTATAATAAGCAAGGCAAGTTTTATTTAACACATTTCATACACAATCATAATTCAAAGTCCTTTACATTAAAAAATATTTATCACAACATACATAATAAATAAAAATAACAATAAGTAATTTAAAAAAATTAAATATGAAAGTATTATATATTCTTATATATAATAAAACTTATGAATAAATATTCACTTAGAAGATAAGTTCAAAAATAAAAACATTTGTTTGTCAGTGTTTAATTTAGTTTGCTTTAAATAAAGATATCTTATTGTGATGTCTTTTTTTATTTCTGTGTATGTTTTGCACATTAGCACTCTGGTGTCAAGCGAAAATATTATTTAAACAATTATTTCTTCAAAAAAAGTGTTATTTGCTTTTACACAAACTGAAACGATTATTTTCTATTAGACCGATATAAAAATGAACTTTACATAAATGACTCTTTTTTCAGTTTAGATATAGTTTGATAGTTCTGGATGAGGATCTTTAGTGTATGTTGTGTTTCTTGTTCTTACGGCTCAAGGAACAGGCAGCAGTAAGTCCACAAGCGCTGGTTCTCTTGCATAAGAAGAGGACTGCTTATAATGCAGTGCACTGATGTAGGCCGCTGCACATGCAGAACTAACTCAGCTCTGTATTCTGGTTTCGGTAGATGGACCAGTTTCATCTGAACCGAACCGTGGGTTTCGGCTGAACTTTGGCACATGCTGTTGTTGTTGTGGTTTCATTAAAACACTCTTTTCTTCTCAAAGAACTTCCTTTCATCCTGAAACATGAGGCAAACGGTCCGTGAACTTGCTCTGGGTTCAGATCCGTCACGAACAGAACGTTTAAAACACGCTTAGGAGACAGAAAACTATGATGATTTTTATTAGTCAGATTTATTTACTTATAAATGTTTGCCTTTATAATTTTTCTAATATATTTCATTATTTTCTAAATTCGGATTATATTTTTTCATCTCTTTATATTATATAAATATTATTTAAAATATGTATTGGTTAAATATGATATAAATAAATATTTATACTTGTATTATTATTATATTTTCTTTGTATTTTTATTATTATTAAATTATTTAAAAAATGTTAATGTTATAGAATTATTATATAAACATGTATATTTATATTCTGATACTATGTTTGTGTATTTTTAAAAATATATATTTTATGGATTACATTAATGTTATATAAATATTATGGAAATATTTAAAATACATATAGATTTTTAGATCTTAAATATTATTTATTTTTATTATATTCTGTATGCATTCTATGCATACTTTTGTATTCTATGCACATTTTATTGCTTTTTATTTTTAACATATATATATATATATAAATATGATTTTATGGTTACATAAATATGATAAAAAAATGTGTACTTATATTTTTATGTGTTTATTTTATATTTTATATATATATATATATATATACACACACACTCACACACACACTTAAATTCTGGTTATATTTTTAATGTACATTTTTTATTATACATTTAATATATAAATATTTATAAATTGGTTATAGTCATTTTATGTGTTAATGAAAACCTCTCATAGCGCATTTATGTTGTGTCCTGTGCAATTTTAAGATCTCTCTGGTTTTCTAATCGGCTTCTACCAGGCTGCAATGAGTCTTCTTTAATTTCTGATTAACTATAACCAGTCTCTCACCGCTGGAGATAGTACAGTAAGTTTGCAGACCTTCTCCTCGGTTGATTCTGTATTCAAGCACTACAGGTCAGCGCTATAGCAACAGAGAGGCGTGGCCAGTGACCTCAGCAATGCTGATTATAACCACTGTTGTAATAGTGAAGCTCCGCCCACTCCACCTGACCCTGCAGGAGATTACAGAGAGAGAGAGAGACACTGAATCTCTGCATTACACTTCCAGCTCCTGCTTTCAGTAACCAGACACTCGCAGGTGAATATCTGCCAGGTTCACCGCTGAGCAGAGACAGAGGGAGTGGTTAGAGAGAAAAGTAATCAGACCTCCTTCCTCTCCAAAGACAACGCTGAACTTTCTCCAGGAGAAACACAAGACTCCGCCGGAGCAGGAAGTGCTCTGAAAAAAATCCTTGGGAATGTCTAAGGGAAATATCTGGAGCTCGTATCCGTTAGTTCTGTAAGTTTCCTTTCACTGCCTGAACTACTGAGACACTTTAGTCTCTCTGTTTGGTTTCTCCCATTTGAGAATCACACTGAACTGCAGTAAAACTTCTGGAACAGAAGTGTTTCCAAATGCTGGAGCGAGAGAGAGAGAGAAAGAGAGAGCCGGGGATTTTCACGCACAAAACCCTTTTGTTTTCTCCGGTCTGTGAAACTAGAGCGCATGCAGGTTAAAGTAAAACCACACTAACTATGCAGCTATTGGATTTCACCTCATAGCATTCAATGCAAACAGCAATATGGATTCAAACCACACTAGGACCTCTTCAAGTTTTCTCATGTCCGATCAGACGACAGCTGTGTTGACGTCATTTCGAACATTGCCTGATGAAGATGCTAATGGTCATATTGGAGTAGCAGATCCTTTGAGACCGAAATCTGGAGATGGTTTGGAGGAAAACATGGAGCTGGATCGCCATTATTCGCCTGTTCAGGATGCAGATGGGTCTTCACAGACGTCCTCCGATCCGTATCTGGTGCAGGTGACTAGAGTGGAGACGTACATCGACGATGAGGAAGACACCTTAGGCCTTCAGGGAAGGTCAGAGCAACCGATACACTGCAAAAAAAGACTTTTTTCTTGTTTTCACGTACAAATAACTATTAATAAAGGGGTCCCTCAGGGCTCTGTGTTAGCATCAACCCTGTTTTCAATCTACATTAATAATATTTCTCAGGTTATCAGTAGTCAGAAAACCTATATTCACCTATATGCGGATGATCGTCATATGATGAAGTTTTAAACCAGGTA